AAAATTAAGGAGAATGAGCCTGGAAAAATTCTTCTTTAGTAAAAACCAGGTTAATTAAAGTGTGGTTTACTTCAGGTAGCTGAAGTATGGGGAGTAACTACTTCTTCTCCCCGCTGCATGCCACTCCAGATCCCATTGCTTGTTAAAACCAGGCAAAGTGCTAATTGCACAAAACTCTTCCCTGAAATTCAAAAGTCACATAGCACGATTTACCATTGCTCTTAATTTAATACTGTGCTGTATGCTGGCTAATTTCATGTGCTGTTCGCCACATTTATTTGCCCTTCTAGTTGAAGAAAATGCCAGGGACTCAAACCTAAGCAGGTCCAGGTCTTCTTGGAAGTAACCCCCATGTTATTCAACAGGGCTATGTGTCACTAGGACTGCAGCCTGAGACTGTTAAAATGTTACTGACCGCCCCTCCCAGTCCAGAGGTCGAGATTGGAAGGCTTTCTTGGTCCTTCTTCCCACTCCAGTTCTTTGTTGTTGTTGTTTTTTATTATTTCCAGGTTTTGGAAATTCTTATATATAAAGAAGTATAGCTACAGAATTAAGGATTAATTTTTAATTAGCAATAGGGGGTTAAGAAGTAGAACCAACAAATTGTCAGGCTGTTGCACCTTGTCATTAACCTGAAAAGCAGCAGCAAATGAGATTTTGACTGCTGCACTGCTGACCCTGTTAAAAATGCCGTCAAGCTTAGAAGCAACTTCCAAGCAAATGTGAACAGGATTGCGTCCATCAGGAGTCCAGCTTTTGCTGTTCAGAATCCCTGCCTTTATGTTCATGTTTCGGTACAGCATCTTAAACATGGGTTCTTTTGAATGGCCAGAAAGTATGAGTTGGTCTGATTTTGACAGTATGACTTACACTGTAATTTTCTAGACTGATTTCTTCTGGGCAGGAGATAGATTGGGGTGCACTGATAGACCACCTAGTGACTGGTGGGATTCTTGCAAAGAATGCTGGATCATGTGGAGTTCAAGCTGGTCAGTTTTTAAGCAGAAGTACACACATAGGATCACAGACAACAGATTAGTTATGCCTTAGTTATTAAGAGAACTCGAGTGCACTCACTTGTTTTGTAAGTTTGACATGCATTGGTGATCCAGGAGAAAACCATTTTAAAAAAGGGGAGAAGAATCAGACAGTGCAACACCAAAGGCTCTCCACTAACTGTTGTTATAGCTTTCCCCTGAAAATGTAGTGTTATATGCACAACAGTCCATTAGATGGCAATCTTCCCATTTTTGGTAAGAATTCCTCATAGCGACTCCCCCCCCCCACACCCGATTTTAGTTTTTGATGAATGTTGTCATATTACAGAACATATTTATTTATTTATGCAAAATATTGATCTACCTGCTTTTCACCTGATCAAGTCAGGTAGCAGTAGAATTAATACAAGAAAACTGTATGAAAGTACATGAATTAAAACAATAAACAAAATACAATAAACACCCCCATTACCCTGGGCACATAATTCCCTTTGGTGCAAGTACTGTGCAGAATAAATCTGTTTTACAGCCTTGCTGGAAAGCGGGGGGGGGGGGGGGGGCCCCCCCCCCCCCTTCCAGGAGGCAGCTCTATAGGCTTGGGACAGTTCCTGAAACTTCTTGAGGCTGGGCTGTTACAGAGTGCATCCTAGACAGAGGGGGCACAGCCAATAGCCCCTTCTTGGAACAGCGAAACATCTGCATGGGAGCTTGCAGGGAAAGGGCAGGTATGTAGGCCTGAGGACATAGAGGCCTTTCAAGGTAAGCACCAGCATCTTGAATCTGGCCTAGAAATGAATAGTCAGCCTTCTTTCTTTAAAATAGGAGTGATGTGGTCACAGTGGGTAGACCCTGCTAACAAATGGGATGCCATATTTCAGCGTCTTCTGAAGTTCCCAGATCACCTTCAAGGGCAGCCCTGTGTAGAGTGTGTTACAGTAATCTAGACCAGTGTTCCCTCTAAGCTGAGTTAGTGTGAGCTAGCTCACAGTTTTTTAGCCTCCAGCTCACACATTTTTGTCTTAGCTCAGGAAGGATGGCTCCAGAACAAACTAATTTATGCAGTAGCCAAATCGCTTGCTCACAACTTTAATGCCAGTAGCTCGCAAAGTAGAATTTTTGCTCACAAGACTCCACAGCTTAGAGGGAACATTGATCTAGACCCGAGTTAACTTGAAGTATGGACCAGCTTCCTAATTGAAAATGGACAGTATACCTCTATCCTAAACATTTCTGCTCAGAAGTAAATCTAACTGATTTCACCAATCGTTATTTGCAAGTCGGAACCGTGACTTTAAGGCTAATTCACTTGTGTATGCAGTGTGCCAGTGTGGTCAGAGTGTCAGACTAGGGTCCGAGAGACCCAGGTTCAAATTCTCACTCTGCCATTGAAGCTGGCTGGGTGACCTTGGGCCAGTCACACACCTTCAGCCTAACCTATCTCACAGGGTGGTTGTGAAGATAACATGGAGGAGAGGAGAATGATGTAAGCCACTTTGGGTCCCTGTTGGGGAGAAAAGAAAGATGTGAATGAAGTAAATAAATAAGTGCTTATACACGTGTTGTTGATGCGCACAATTTATCTGTTGTGTTTAATCTTGTGCTCACTACCTTGTTATCTATTCATGTAATTCCACCTTTCGGCATTGTTAACATATCATGTCTAATACTTAGGCTTTGTTTTCTGTATCCTAGTCCTGTTATTTTGCTTCTCAAATGTCTTATTCTCTTGATTTCCCTGACTTTACATTGTGTAATCCACCTTGACTCTAAATGAGAAAAGTGTACTATAAATAATAAATTGATACATTTTTTAATCTCTTGAGGGTTTGGAACTATCCAGTGTCATACGAGCCATTCTGTATCCTTTCCCCACTTAAAAGTTCTCTTGGCTCTTTAGCACAATCCTGCTTGGCCTGATATTGTATTTCAATTCAAAGCCGCCACCCCCACCCCTTATAATTGATATAAAACAAGCCTGTTCTTAGAGTTCTTATACAGTGGCCAGTGCTATTGCGTTTCGCTATGGGCCACTTTACAGATTTCAGGGTAGCAAGCCTGGTTGCTTTTGTGCATAATTCCACGAACCATCAAAGTTGAAGCTTCTTCCAGCTCTCTGGTATGTACACACACCAATGTTCCCTCTAAGCCGTGGAGTCTTATGAGCAAAAATTCTACTTTGTGAGTGACTGGCATTAAAGTTGTGAGTCAGTGATTTGGCTTCTGCATGAATTAGTTTGCTCTGGAGCCATCCTTCCTGAGCTAAGACAAAAATGTGTTAGCTGGAGGCTAAAAAGCTGTGAGCTAGCTCACACTAACTCAGCTTAGAGGGAACACTGACACACACACATATGAAGATGGGCTCTTGGAGAGCCAGTGTGGTGTACCAGCTGGAACTGTCAGACTTGGATTGGATTCAAATCCCCACATGGCCCTGCCTATTGAGTCAGACATCTCATTCTGCCTTGCCTACCTCACAGAGTTGCTGTGAAAAATAACAGAGGAGGGAGGAACCATGTAGGCTTCCCTAATGTCAGGATAAGAAAAAAAAATGTTAGATGGTGTACACAAGACTATATTTTTATGTGTAATATATGAATTGTCTTAAGACTGTAAGACAGACTTGCAAGTAAAGATTAAATAAATCAGTGGGACTTAACCTCCAGGTAGCAGTTTTTAATATGGCAGCTTAATGTCAGCTTTTGCAAGACTGGAGGAAAAGCTGTTAAGTTTGGAAAATTATTTCTATACAAGATCATTTTCTAAGGATATTTTACTATTCAACTTCATCAGCTCTAAGATGTTGTAAACAATTTTTTAAAAAAATCAAATTGTATATGGTCTCCGTAAATTGTAGCAAAGAAGCAGCAACACAACACAGTTAATTTCTGCTGCTCCTACCCAGAGGACAAGCCCAGGCATTTAGACTTGGGATGTCCACAGAAGGAAGAGACCTCAGCAAATTAGGCTACTGGTAAATAAGCTGTTATAAAAGGGTTGGAGGTGAGGAAAAGAGCAAGGGGGGAGGGGGAATCATCAAAGAGAAGAGGTGAGAGCAAGTGGGAAAGTGCCAGCAAGGAAAATCAGCAATAGAGAGGACTGCTTCGACTGGGGTGCCTGAAACAAAATCAGGAATGAGCAGGCAGAGCCTGGTTAAATAGATGCCAATTTAATTGCACATTTTATTCATGCATTTATCTAGGTACGTATACCTCACTTTTCTCCCCAGTGAACTTATGACATCAGTCTTCCCTTGTCCATTTAATCCTCAAAACAACCCTGTGAGGCAGGTTAAGTTGAGAGTTACTTGCCCAAGGTCACCCAGCAGGCTTCCATGGCAGAGTGGGGGCATGAACCTGAGTCTGTTGGACCTTAGTCCAGTACTCTAACCACTATTTTATGTCTTTTGAATTAAAGTTGTAAACTTGTTTTATTTGTTTATTTTTGCCGTCAAATCACAGGTGATTTATAGCGACCCCATGGGGTTTTCAAGGTAAGAGACGTTCAGAGGTGGTTTGCCATTGCCTGCCTCTGCTTAGCAACCCCGGACTTCCTTGACGGTCTCCCGTCTGCTAACCAGGGAGAGACTGGGTCCATCCAGGTCAGGGCACAAGTGTCAGTATAGAGCAAGAAATCTTATTTCAGAAAGAAATAATCCTGCTGTAAGGGAAGTTGATCAAATTTCCATCACCTATCACTCATCACAGATTTATGGCTGTGGATTGCTAAAAAATTAAATTAGCTTCCCTTTGTCTTAAAAGCTAACATTTGAATCCATTTGTCTTAAAAGCTAACATTTGAATCCATGCCTTTGAAAAGAATTGGGATTTTCTTAGGGAAAGTCTTTTGGCGTTTTAACCGAGTGAAAGATGTCTTATATCGATGCCCTTACAAATGTCAGTTTCCCTTGTTTGTTGCAATTTCAGTTGCTTCAGCTGAGCCCTCCACCATATTTGTGTTGGCGCTAACAACTGCTTTTCTTGTACTGACGGAATACTTGGGACGATGGGAGTCACTAGTCTGTGGCAGATCCTGGAACCGATAAAACAACATGTCCCCCTCAGCCACCTTAAAGGCAAGACATTGGCTGTTGATTTAAGCCTCTGGGTGTGTGAAGCACAGAGCGTTAAAAAGATGGCCGGTGTAGTCACAAAGCCTCACCTCAGGTGGGTACGGTGATACCAATGTACATGATTGTAAAGTATTGGGGGTGTCTGCAAGGCAGGTACCTTACACATTGATTTTTTTCTGAAAGATAAGGGCTTGGGTCCAAAGTATGACATGCAGAGCACGGTTTTCCCCTCTGCCTCTTCAGCCAAGTCAGCCCCCTGACATTTTGCTCCTAGGAGTCAGTCAGTGTGGGGGTTAGTAGTCCCCGTGCCATGATGTTGGTGGAGAGTACCTCTGGATCCAACTCAAGAGTTTAGATCTGGAATAAATTGGCAGTTTTCCACAGATTTCCCCCTTCCCACTGCAAATCCCTTCATCCTCATTCAGGGTCCGCTATACTCCATGTGCTTCATTTTGTGGAGATCAGCAGGGGATGGAGAGGCAGGAAAGTCCTGTTCAGCTGATGGATAATGTAGTCTGGATCCAGCCCAAAATGTGTTCTAAACATATTTCTGCATTATTTTCAGCTGCGCTATAGTGGCATTTTGTTAAGCTCTCTTCTAGATTAAAACTAAAAGTCTAAAGAAAGGCGAATGTTTTCTTGCTTCATTTCTTTTTTAATTAGAGGGATTTGAAACCTGCACCTCACATTTCAGCATCATTGGTGGGACGGTGAGGTTGTTCTCAATTTGGAAACAAATAAACAGAAAGATGCTGAAGTATTAATTGCCTGCAGTTCCTGTAAATGGTTTTTACGTGGCTCTCCAGATGAACCTGTAAGAAAAATGGATTTGGAAATGGTTGGTAATTTATAACAGCAGCAAAAGCAGGGGATGTCTAAACAGTTGAAATTGGTAAATGGACCTGTTATTGAAGATTTAGGGGTCCACTGCTGGGTAATTGTTAAAATGAGTGACAAAGATGATAAAATTGAGAGAAGCAGGATAAACAACTTAAGTTACACTGAGAGGAATTCTAAGGATGTCTGCTCAGAAGGAAATCCTATTTTGTTCAATGGGGTTTACTTCCAGTACAGTGTTCTTAGAATTGCAGCCTAAGCATTAAGAACATAAGAGATGCCAATGTTGGATCAGGCCAAAGGCCCATCCAGTCCAACACTCTGTATCACACAGTGGCCAGAAATACCAGTGCCATCAGGAGGTCCACCAGTGGGGCCAGGACATTAGAAGCCCTCCCACTGTTGACCCCCCCCCCAAGCATCAAGAAGACAGAGCATCACTTGCCCCAGAGCCCCTATCTATACCTTGTGGCTAATAGCCACTGATGGACCTCTGCTCCATATGCTTATCTAATTCCCTTTTGAAGCCGTCCATGCTTGTAGCACCCACCACTTCCTGTGGCAGTGAATTCCAAGTGTTAATCACTCTTTGGGTGAAGAAGTGCTTCCTTTTATCCGTTCTAACCCGACCACCGAGCAATTTCATGGAGTGCCCACGAGTTCTTGTATTGTGAGAAAGGGAGAAAAGTACCTCTTTCTCTACCTGCTCTTTCCCATGCATAATCTTATAAACCTCAATCATGTCACCCCTCAGTTGTCGTTTCTCCAAGCTAAAGAGCCCTAAGCGCCTTAACCTTTCCTCATAGGGAAAGTGTTCCAACCCTTTTATCATTCGAGTTGCCCTTTTCTGCACTTTTTCCAAAGGTATAATATCCTTTTAAAGGTGTGGTGACCAGAATTGCACACAGTATTCCAAATGAGGTCGCACCATTGATTTATATAGGGGCATTATGATATTGGCTGATCTGTTTTCAATACCCTTCCTAATAATCCCCAGCATAGCATTGGCCTTCTTTATTGCAGTCACACACTGTCTCGACATTTTCAGTGAGTTATCTACTACAACTCCAAAATCTCTCTTGATCAGTCTCTGCCAGTTCAGACCCCATCAACGTGTAATTATATTTAGGATTTTTGGCTCCAATGTGCATCCCCTTGCACTTGGCCACATTGAACCCCATTTGCCATGTTGACGCCCACTCGCCCATCTTTGAGAGAATTTAGTAAAACTCCACAGTTAGCTGTGATGTGACTATGTATGATCTTGGAAATAGAAAAGCCAAGGGAAAAGTCAATTACAATAAGTATGGTGTGTGTACATTAGCATGGGACTGTAAATGGCTGTTAAAGGTCAAAAGAAGAAGAGTTGGCTTTTATACCCTGCTTTTGTCTACCCTAACAAGTCTCAAAGCAGCTTACAGTTGTCTTCCCTTATCTTCTGAGAGAACTGTGACTGGCCTAAGGTCATCCTGAGCCTACGGGGAGGGTGGGATAAAAATCTAAATAATAAATAAATAAATAAATCCAGCAGGCTTCATGTGGAGGAGTGGGGAATCAAACCCGGATCTACGGATTAGAGTCTGCTGATCTTAACCACTACATCATGCTGGCTCTGTCCTGTGTGACTTCAAAGCACAAGCTTAATGGATGTAGGATGACTTTGACAGCTTTAAACAGCCAAAGCTGCCACTGCCTTTATCTGTTAAACTGAAGGTGCAAGTCAGCCTGATCCTCAACTCAGATAAGCTGAAACAATTCTGATTTCAACCATTTTGATCCTCTGTACCCTTTGGAGGAGGTCCCATTGAACTTCCATGTGTCTTCCTTGGCCAATTAATGAGACTTACAGTCCAGTCCTAAAAAGAATTACACCCTTCTAAGTCCATTGACCTCACTGGGTTTAAAGGTAAAGGTTCCCTTGCTCGAAAGCCAGTCGAGTCCGACTCTAGGGTTGCGGTGCTCATCTCCGTTTCAAAGCCGAAGAGCCAGCGCTGTCCGAAGACATTTCCGTGGTCATGTGGCCGGCATGACTAAACACCAAGGTGCACGGAACGCTGTTACCTTCCCACTGAAGTGGTACCTATTTATCTACTTGCAATTTCTTGCTTTCAAACTGCTAGGTTGGCAGGAGCTGGAACTAGAGACGGGAGCTTACTCCGTCATGCGGCACACTCGGTCTCGAACTGCTGAACTACTGACCTTCCACAGCCCGCAGTTCAGCGTCTTAACCACTTGAGCCACCGCAGCTCACTGGGTTTAGAAGGGCGTAATACTGCTTAGGATGGCACTGTTAACGTCCACTGAAGGTTGCCTGGTATTTTTGAACTTGTCTGAACTTGAGTTTGTAATTTAAACAAAACAAACTTTTGAAGCAGGCACGAGGGAGGCAAAGGCTCAGTGAAAGCACACTATAGCTGGCATTTGAACGCAGGCCATCACATTAACTACAATTCGATAGGGTCCATCAAGCTAGAATGCGAAGCCAGTATATTAATCACAGTTTGTGTAAGCTATGTTTTTGCATTATGTACAAACGCAGACATACAGGCTTCTTCCCTCGCAAAGCTTTCTCAGGCTAATGAGAGAATGGGATAAAACTAACTTTTGTGAAAGCAAACCAAGATAGGAGCCCTTGCCTGTGTTTGAGTCCTGGTGTCACAAAACCATCCATAATTAAAATAAATCATGGTTTTACGGGGTGCCTGAACTGAGCCAATGAATTTGCTTCAGTTAATAGTTTTGAAAAGGAATTACCCTTCTTGGTGGCCGTGGGAATAACTGAATCAATCTTATATTTATTCATTGAAGCATGTGTGGGTTGGAAGATGACTGGATGCTGCTGTGAAATTACCACAAAATGTCATACTGCCAAAATGTTGTACTGGGTTGACAACAACTTTGGGTATCTAAGTATGTTTGCAAAAGCACAAATAAAAGAGAAATTGGAAAACTAGATGAGCTAGATGTACTTTTCTATCATGTTGTAATGCTCCCCCCCCCCCCGTGCTTCTGCTGTCGGGTGGGCATCAGCCCCTGAGCTTGCCTAGGGTTCAGAATAGGGAGAGAAGAAGATTACACCACCTGGTTCCTCTGTCTCCCCTGGATACCTGCTTTCACAAGGCTGGAGAAGGATCCATTGCTTCTTCTGGCCTATTGTGGGAACTGCCTAATATGGGATAGGTTTGACCTTCCCTCTTCACAGCTTCCCCCAAACTCTGGTCCTCTAGATGGTCTCGCCTGTCCGGTTAGGGTTGAGTTGGTTCCTTCCTCCCTGTTGTTTCTGTGATACGTCTCTCCTGGGGCTTCCTATTAGCCACTGAGGAAATTCCCGCCAGGCTTCCCACAGGCCCACCCAATCCCAGCAACTGCCTGTGATGCTTATTCTCCCTCCTCCCCATTGGCTGCATGCTTCTTTTGGTGATGTGATGCTGCTCTGGCCGCTGGTGTCTCCTCTGCTGCTGTCCTGGTCCTCTGGGGCCAGGAAAGCCTGAACACCAGGTCCTGACGTCACAGTAATGGCGACCCATGTAGTCATTCCCTGTGTGGCTGACTAGAGCAGGAGAAGACGACGCTGGTCTCTTTCTCCCTGGCTGGTTTTCTCTATAGTACGGATATAATCTACTGTGACTATTACTGGCCATCCAAGTAATAATTTAAATAAGAGAATCTTCATATTAAGATTAGCTTTGCTAATTCAGTTTGTTTTTGGTCTGCTGTTTGACTAAACCACATGAACCTGTTCTTTTCACAACTGTTCTGCAGTGGTGATCTGACAGATCACAGTAAATTAGTATTTTAGCAGAGCAGTGGTTTCATTGTTATTGTTTTGTTCTTTCCATCATACGACAGACATCCACCACTTTCTCCTATTATATGCTTGTATACGAAACATACACTCAAATATGCAAGGGAAACTGAACTCAGTAACAGTGTAAGCTAGTGTGAAGAATCTGGAATACTGCAGTGAAAAAATCAAGAGAATATCTTGTTGAGTACACGAGAAACTGCAAGTTAAAACACTTGTGAAAGTAGCTGGCAACTGCAGAGTTCAGGGACTGTTATGACTACATTTGATGACGTCACAAGTCACGACCTGGTGTTCAGGCTTTCCAATATAGGGGCTGGTGCCACTGCTGAGCCCCTGTCAGCTGCAGTGAGTCTGGGCCTGTCACTGTTGCAGCCCCTGCCAGTCGCTTTTCCCTCTGGCATGCTCTTGAGGCTGGGGGAGGGCCAGCAGTGTGGGATGGGTCCATTGCCGGACATATGCATATGGCTCTCTTCACTGCCATAAAAACCATCAAATATTTCTGTTTCCTAACCATCATTAGACCACCATGAAATTCACACTCGTTCAGAACTTTCACAAAAGTGACTCTTCTTTCTTGTTATTGCAGAAATCTTTTTTTCCGAGTCTCTTCTTTAACGCTAATGGGGATCCGTCTGGTATTTGTGATGGAGGGAGATGCTCCAAAGCTGAAAGCAGATACAATGAGTAAACGGTCAGAGATTCGTTTTGGGCACTCCATCAAACCTGGGGCTGCAAGAACAGGGAGATCTCATTTCAGATCTTTCTTGAAAGAGGCAAGTTCATATAGATGGTCAGTGTTGTTTTCAGAGTGCTGAATATTGACAAGTGGTGGGTTCGTGGGATGTTGTTGACAGGTTGCTTAAGATTATATATTTTTGGACTAAATTTTTCAAGGTTTTTTGAGACCTTCTGGTGAGCCATAAGGGCCAGTCTAAAGCAATTTTACTAGCATGCCAAGCACAAAAGCATCACATCTTTCTCAGTTCCTGCCTCTGTTGGAAGACTGTGAACTGGAAGGCTGTCAAGATCTTATCTCACTTCAGACGTTTTGGTATAGCTGCTAGATGCCCCAGCGGTGTGTGTCAGCATCACGCCAGTCCCTGTAGGTGACACCTACTTGGAAGTATACCAGTGGTGATTACCACTAATCTTGAAGGGTTTTTTTTTCAAGCCGATCCACATTTCATGAGAGATGATAGCAATAAACATGAGCAAGATGGTTGGCAAATGGTATAGTTCATTCTTGGGGTTTTCCAATGTGAACATTACTCTCTTTATCTGTTCATCCATGTTGGCACCATGTTCAGTGTGTAGGAGCCATCTAGCATTAATTTTATGGTATCAAAGTTCTCTATTGGTTAATGGCATTGCAGTTATGTGTATGGTGTGCTTTACGTTAAGACAAACTATATTGTGGAATGGCGGCCCACCTCATGATTGAGGACTTGTTGCATCCTCTCTTGGGACTTTTGTTTCTTTAGTGCCTGGAAATGCTGGAGTGTTTAGGAATCCCTTGGGTCCAAGCCGCTGGTGAAGCGGAGGCCATGTGTGCCTATTTGAATGCACAGGGCTATGTGGATGGCTGCATCACAAATGATGGAGATGCTTTCCTTTATGGTGCTCAAACAGTCTACCGGAATTTTACCATGAACATAAAGGTAATGTACTGGCGATTCGTTGGCTCACGCATACTGCTTTATCCACAGTGTTCTTTCAAGCAGCTGTAAGGGATGACGCCTCTTCTGCACAGTTATCCTGGTGCTGTATCTTTGTCCAAAAAGTGCCTTTGCTCTGTTCCCTGTCTTTGATCCATAAGGCCCGTCTGATGGGAGCCACTGTGGTGTAGTGGGTAGTGTTGGACTACAATCCTGAGGAAGTTGGGTTTGAATCTCTGCTCTTGTCATGGAAACTTGACTTCTCGCTCTCTCTCAGCATAACCTTTCTGATGGGGTTCTTGTTGTGAGAAGATGGAGGAAGGGAGAAAGGTGTTTTAAGCCACTTTGGGTCGCCATTGGGGAGAGAAGGCGAGCATAAAGAAGTACACAAATAGACGTGGTCAGACAGAAGGGTTGTGAATGTGATTGAGGTTAGAAGCTTAACTATGTGTTAGTGTGATGTCTGTACTGTAAAAGCCTAGTCACGGCTACTACTGTGACAGAGGCCACACTGGGTTGGGTCCAGCCAGGTGTTTTGCTCAGTCTTTATTACAGCGCCCCCCCCCCCCCCTGCTTTCAGTTTTTAGCCATGCAGGTCCTGTGATCCCTGGAAGAGACTTTGCTGGTCAAAGAGGAGCCCTCCCGCCTCCTCCACCCATGGTTCCAACCTTATAGCCACACAATGGAGTGTAGAATGCATGAAAAGTAAAAGCAGATAAACAGTTCTATGAAAGCTCATATTATGGTAAGAGTTTTATTGCATGTTATGGCTCAGTTCAGATACAAAGATGCCAAACTGTGGTTTTGTATTTCACGAGTGAGCACCTGTGTGCAAGAACCTGTCACAGATGCAGGGAAGTAAAAGAGACCCCATTTGAGGTCATGGGCATTTTAAAGAGTGTAGTGTCACTTTCTAAAACAGTAAAAAGCATTAAATTTTTGGTGGTTTTTTTTTTAATTACACTTTACGCTCTGAGGTTGTATAAAAGCTCTGGGCAATTTTAACTCAATATCCCTATCTGGTTAGGGTTAGCATGCACTTTTATTTAGGATGCAATCTGAATAATGGTTTTTTAAAAATTCTTAATCAATGACTTAAATTGACCCCTTGTTCTTAAGGAGTGATTTAACAGTGCAATCCTTATACTCTTCTAAGTCCATTGAAGTCAGTGGGCTTGGGGGGGGGGTGTAACTTTGCTTATGAGTGCACTATAAATCACCCTGTTGTAAGTTGGTGGCAATTGGTTCTTTGTTGTGCTAGAAACCTTTACTTGCTTTCTCCAAATTACCTTTTGAGAGTGTATGAACAGTTTTTGTTTTGTCCAGCTGCTTTTAGGAGATCCACTGCTTTCTTTTCCTCTCCCCAAACTGTTTTTCCCTTTTAAAAATATAAAATAGCTTCTATTTAAAAAATTTTTTTTAAAAAAGATTTTTACTTGATGTTCTTTTAATACCATTTGGAGGAATGTGCTGTGTAAACTTGATTGTTATGTAGCATACTATTGCTTAAAGTGCTTCAGATCTTTGGATCAGGTAGATGCCTCTTAAGAAGAAGCAGATGCCTCTTGTTCCTATTTCATGGAAAGATAATAGAGTTTGAGAAATGGTGCCTGTCCCTAAGTTTGTGAAGAGAGTCTGTCTGATCAGAGATTTCAAAGCCAGCCTGGGTTCAAAGGTCTAGCCTGTGGGGCTCATAATTAAAGTATTTTTGTAAGGTACATAATAAGGAAGGTGAAATGAAAGGCTACAAAGCCGTAGGCTTTTCTGCCCCTTTTGAATGTTATTTATTCAGTTCATTTATACCCTGCCTTTCTCCCCAATGGGAACCCAAAGCAGCTTACATCATTCTCCTTTCCTCCATTTTATCCTTACAACAACCCTGTGAGATAGATTAGTGTGTGACTGGCCCAAGGTCACCCGGAGAGCTTCCATGGCTTGAGTGGGGATTTGAACCTGGGTCTCCTAGATACTCGTCCAACATTCTTAACCACTACACTACACTGGCTTTCTTTGAAGTGAGAATATAGTAAAGTATGAAAGAAAAGGTAAAGGCCCACATTCGCTCTCCACGGTGAGGGCTAGGTTTCCATGAGGTTCTATTGAATATCTGGAATTTGCATCTAAAAATCCAAATAACCTGGGCCTTTTATATAGTATATTTTGTGGTATATTTCTTCTTATTCTGAACAATTGTTCAGTCCTATTTAGTTTTTTATGTCAATGCTGGCAGAGAAAATATTTTCAGTTCTCATTGTACATGCATGCTGTTGGCCTCTCTAGCCACTTTTGTGGTCAGGCCACGCTATAGTTTGTGAAATTCCAGAAGGTATCACCAATTGTACCCTATTTCCTACAGGATCCACATGTTGACTGCTATTCAATATTCTCTATTGAGAAGATGCTAGGGTGCAACAGAGAGTGTCTGATTGGATTAGCAATTCTGCTTGGCTGTGATTATCTTCCTAAGGTAAGGGGTAAAAATTAAGGCTCTGGTACCAGCTTCTAATTTTCCACTTTAACTGTTAATTGTCCTCAAACCAGTGATGCATTAGAGTCTTGACAGAGCACCAACTATGTTTTTATATTAATTTTTTCTTTGCATTAGTTCGTGATCCTGGTTTCACTGCCCTAATAAATATGTTCCCATCTACCTACACCATGCAGATTTGAAAGGAGGGTCCATTGTACTAATTATGACTAGCATCCAAGTAAATGTGACTATGACAGCTGCTAAAATGGAGAGAAGAGTCCTAGAAATATATTTATTATATAGTGTACACAATAATATAATTAAGAGCATAGGGCCTGAATATCAGGCTGCATTAAAAGTAATCAAAAATTAGTCTTACATAAGCTATTATAAATCCCTCATACAAAGTTGATGTTAAATACCAAATGACCAACACAAGACCATGCGCGTTTCATCCCCAAAGGCCTTCTTCAGTGGTCAGTAGTGAAGACTTTTGGTAGGGTTCAAGAATCATACAACACACAGATTTCTTTAAGCTGCAGATCAGCTCTGTCTCTCTCTCTCTCTGTTCCTCAACTGTCCCTGTTCATCTGACAGGCTGTGTTACAGCAGCGTTTTTATTAACAGAAAGAAAAGCAAGCTCATTCATTTGTACATCGTTACATTATCAAGCTTTCTATGTTAGGAATACAGAATGTTCTTCTCACTGGCAAATCATCCTTGAAAGTTGCAAAGCCTATGTGCCCTCAGCAATTCATTGTTCTAAGAGGAATTTAGCAGTCTCATGCAAACTCAGAATACCTTGTTTCCTGCTTGCCAATTCTCCCGGCAGAGTAGTGTCTGTGGGAATTCGAACTTTGACTTTGGAAGTCTGAACTTTGACCCCGGGTGTGCCTCGCTGGATTTCCATTCAGACCTCCACACAGTAGTACATAACATAGTTTTTAGAAACACATCCAGAAAATAAACAATGGCTCCGGTCACACGGGCAGGAAACCGCGGGGGGGAAGCATGGCTGTTTGCCCCTGGGCAAACTAACGCACGGTTAAGCGATCAGACCTCCTGTGGAGGTTCTGTGGAGGTTCCGTGGGTAGGGAGAGGTGCCGATCACAGGACACGCCCGCGCGCAACGAAGAAGCGTGCGGTGCGGCAAACTGGTTTTCTTTGTTTTGTGTACACGACAAATGCGCATGCTCCTTTGGGTGCATGTGCGCATCCACGGACACTTGGGGGGAAAAAACACCTTTTTCGCAAGGGGACATGGGCGGGCGCCGGATGCCACCGGAAACGCGATCAGACGCCTGCCCTTGCCCCGCAGTTTCCGGAAACTAGTACCTCCAAGGTACTAGTTTTTTGCTGCGTGTTTTCGGCGGGAAGCCTCAGTTGTGCTACGGAAGCGCTACGCTTCCCAGATGTGTAGGTGAGATCGCGCCCGGAAACTCCGCCTGTCTTCCATCTCTCTTGCATGGCTAATGTTCCGTGTGACCGCAGCCAATATGTATCAACCATGACCAGGTGGTGTTACATTGTGTGATTTGATATTAGCTTATAAAGCAAACAGTGGGTCCGACTCCTGTCACGTGGTAACTGTGCTCAGACATAAATCGTCCACTGATACTATAATCTTGATGACACACGCATCTGGAAATACTTGAAATTCTGTACCAGATTATGTTTTTCTAAAATCTGTATTATGTACTTTTGACCACTGAAGAAGATCTTTGAGACCGAAATGCGTATGGTCTTATGTTGGCCATTTGGTATTTATCAAATATGAGGGATTTATGATAGCTGATGTAAAACTGATTCCCGACAACTTTTAGCACAGCCTGATATTTAGGCCCCATGTTTTTAATTACATTATTGTGTACACTATGTGTTTCTTTTGATACAAATGTTATTTGTTGTAGCTTGATCTTTGAGGCATTCTCAGTACTGGGAATTTAGGCCAGTCACAAAATATTGAGAAGCTGCAAGCCAAGCATCTTCCTATGGTGGAGGCAGCCACTTCTTTTCTTTTGGGGGGTAAGTGAGTATTTTGTGTGTGTGCGTGTGCCTGGAAGTCATGGTTTGACGTCTGGCAACCCATAGTGGGACTAGGATGTTCAGAGAGGTGGAGGCAGCCATTTCTGAATGAGTGTTCTGTGGAAACACAAAAGCACTTAGGGTCTTCTTTTTTTCTTTTTTCTTTTTTGAGCCCCTGGAGGGGATTTTTTAATTGATTTTTTTTTAACACTACAAAAAACTACAACAGAAAAGGGGGAGGGGAAAACTACATATAAGGGAGAAAGTAAAGAACCCACTACTGACTAAAAACCCAAGAGAGGAGATCCTCTAACTAACTTTTTTTTAGCATCCAAACTTATCATCTTTGTACTTCTTATGAACTGTGTCAATCTTTTAGAACTTTTAACCCTCCCCATTTACATTTAATTGCCCAATAACAGTGCCCCCCATCATCCCCTGGAATCAAAGTTCTCAAAGGCACAATTCAGAGTCCTTCAGCCTTTACTACTTCTTCTCTCTTTTCCGCAGTTTGTAGGGACTTTTTGGGACTGCTGCCCCCTGCTCAGACAAAGAGTCCTCGCCAGATGAACCAGTTTCCAGCTCGCCGCTGGACCTGCTGTCTTCTTCTTTTTTCTCTTCCTCTGACCTTCCCAGCTGCTCCTTTAGAAATTCTTGAGCTTTAAGAACAGAGTTATCTTAACCTTCTTCTCTTTGATCTTAAATGCTACTCCTTCTGGAAATAGCCATTTGTATCCAATTGAAGTTGTTTGGAGGAAGAGCACAAGTTCTTTGTATTTCTTTCTCCGTTGCCTTACTTCAAATGGAATATCCTTTAGCGTTCTGACCGCATTCTCACCCACCTTCAGGGGTGTCACAGCCACTGTTTTCAGGATAGCATCCCTGATGTGCCTCTTCGAGAATCGTACTACAATTTCCCCAGGCAGATATTTTTCTTTATATATCCTGAATATGACCTGTAGGCCACATCCATGTTGTTGAATAACAATTCCGCCTTTATATCTGTTGCTGGGGCGAGTAGCTCACTCATAAGTTCTTTAAGATTCTCTCCTCTATTCTCTGGCACCCCTTGGAAGCGCAGGACCATGTTGGCCTTATCCATTTGCACTTGCAGCATCTGATCTTCCAAAGAAACAGTTTTCTTTTCCAATTTTTGCACTTTCTTCCTCACTTTCTGAGTTGATTCAGCCATTTCCTTTACTTTCTCCGCATCCTGCTTCATTACTTGGATCAAGTCCGTTATTTGCGTTTGTTGAGCAGTGATGCTTGTTGTTACAACTGCAAGCTGCTTTTGCTGCACTGTTATATTCGCTGTTACCACCAACATCTGCTCTTTAAAGACATTGAGCTGTTCCAGTAGAGGGCGCATGACCTCAGCCATCACCTTGGTCATCTCACTGGTTGTTTCCTGTCTCGGGGACTCTGGTTTCATTTTTAAAAGTTTCTCTTTGTCTCTGTCCCTCTTCCCTGCCATCTTTCCCCTGTTTGTTTACTTTCACAAAAACCTTTTAAAGTCTCTGAATATGCGCTTAACTGTATAGCTTGATTGGGTGAGTACTTCTGGGCAATCACACGTTTATTCTTCTGCTCCCCCCTCCCTTTCGCTCAGTGATTTACGCATGGGAGGCATCCCTCCCCCGCTTGCTTCTGCCGTTCCGCCGTGTTGGGTAGGGAGCGTCTTTTCTTTTAAAAGTCTTATCTCAGTTGACTCACATTCATAGTTGGTCTTCCGACCCCGCTACATTCATCATTACTGACACCCGATCTCCTACGCTTGACCCGGTTAGCTTCACTTGTAGCATTCGGTCTCTCGGCTGGACGAACCACTGGAGCAAGGGGGAGCCTCGATTCTCTGGCATTCAGCCATCGAAGAGGCTCCCCCTCAAAGCTCCTTGGCCAGGGACCCTTCGCCGGTCCTCTGGGGGGGTTAACGAGCCTGCTCACCCCCTCCCTCCACCAGAGCATGGAGACACCCCGGGGAGGTCCGGGAGGTGAGTCCGTGAGCGTGCCGCCATCAACCAGAAGTCTCAGCACTTAGGGTCTTCTTTAGTGTCATCTGAAGCATGTTATACTTCAGTGAGAAAGCCAAGATTGGCTCTTTGCTTTGGGGAAGAAGGAAGTGGGTGCCAGCAAGCGTGCCGGTGAGCACCACATTGCAGATCACTGCGCTAAATATGTGTTCCTTTGAGATCAGGAAGCCTTTGCTGAGTTTATTAGTACTAAATGGGTTGGATCCTTGCCCATTTTCCTTCCGTACTGCAGCCCCCATCCCGTATGACTTTTGTCCAGGCAGTATCCCTCACTCCCCAGCATAATAGCTTATTTGATAAGCAAAAGGGGACACTCCTCTCCCTTTCACCTGCAGAAACCCATTGAGTTTAACTCTCATTTGTGAATCCAGCTGCACTGACTGTGGTCTACCAGAGAAGAAACTGTGTCCATGCAGTAAATGTAGTGAAATTATGAAGTGCATCCAATTCATTTAACAGGACAGTTAGCTGTTTTACAGCCTAGTTGTAGTTCGAACTTTGAGAGCCAATTTGGTGTAGTGGTTAAGAGCACAGACTCTAATCTGGGAGAACCAGGTTTGATTGCTCACTCCTCTACTTGCAGCTGCTGACATGACCTTGGGTCAATCACAAGTTATCTCAGAGCTGTTCTCTCACGAGCAGTTCTCAAAAGAGCTCTCTCAGCCCTACCTACCTCAATAAGCCGCTCTGAAATTCATTTAGGTTGTGAAGGGCGGGGTGTAAATCCAATCTCCTTCTCCTCCTCCTCCTCCTCCTCCTCTGCTTCCTAGATCTTCATATTCTCACCATCACATAAAGTTGCCTTTGCTCTCTAGTAGCCTCAACAGAGACTCTGGTAGACCACTAATTGGCTCACCATGTGGAATACGGTTTCTGCTTCATAGAATCTAAAGAGTTGAGCTCTGACTCAAGAAAGCCCATCCTGGAATATACGTCATTAGTTTTTAAAGTGCCACCAGATTTCTGTTTTATTTTACTACAATAAACTTTGGAGCCATCAAATGTGCTACCACCACCACCCACTCTATGATGCTAGTTAGCAGTGCTGTCTTAAACTGACCCCCAAATTGATAATTCAGGCATCTTATCAAGCATACCATAAGAATGTTGAAGACTTTTGTTTTGCTTTCATCTGGCTGCTATCACAATGCAGGGTTAGCAAGACCTGCTGCAATATCCTTATGTCTGATGTTTGTGTTTAGCAAATGCGACTGTCTGCATAAAACCGTACAGCAATTTGCTGCCAGCTTTCAATTTCCAGATATGGCCATCCTTCGCCAACCATCTGTTTGCTTTTTTCCCATTTCAGTCAGCTGTTTGTTTGTTTTTTCCAGCAACAGATCTTGTTTTGTCGCAAGGTTCAGCGTATGCTAGCAGTCCTGGTTAATCCGCTTGTGCGGCAAAGGCGAACAAAAGCAGTCCAAACATCTTCCATCTTGTAGGAGGGGGTCAAGGTTACAAGAGCACCCTTGGATATAATTGATTCCCCCCAGAGCACACTTTGGTACTGTCGTTCTCTGCACATTCCACTAATAGTCTCTTTACCTGACCCTGTCAGTTGATAACTGATGGCATTGTTTGTGGCCATGCATCACTCCTGGAATCAGCATACTTATAGGAGACGATGTTTGCCTTTCTTAATTCTGTTTATATAATTCTTACTGCAAGTTTGACTTTCCATCTCAGCTCTAGCTTTTGGTTGTATTTCAGTTCCAAACTAGTTTCTGGTTTTTTTCCTGGCTTCCTTAAAGTCATCCCCAGCTCTGTCATCATCTCTTCTGAAGATTCATTCCCGTGACCACTGAAGCTGGCAGCAACTGTCATATTTTAGTTAGTCTGTGCTGTGGTTAACTGTCTGCTGTCAACTGAACAGATCAGTTTGGCTTTCGTCACTTAGCTGGCCAACACCTGTCAAGGCTCAGCTCCGTGTGAGGCAGCTGGCCGTGGCTACAGGCATCGGTTGCCTTAAAATAAATAAAATAAAAGCAGCTGCCATGCCTTCCAATGGTGACATGACTGAGCTCTGAAACTCAGATCTGTGGCCCCTGCCCCCCATTATGTTATTTTGGTCGCTCTTGTCTTTCTGATATTTGGCAAGTGAGTTTCAACTCTTTGGGTATTGTTTCTAAAAAATGGCTTCAGGATGCAGTGAACGATTCCCTTCCTCTTGCTCAGCACTCTTACTGTCTGTGTATGGCTGTGATCGCATGAGCAGTTTGGCCCGACGCAGCCACCACCACCCCTTCGGATCAGTTGGGCGTAGTCACACAGCCACATCTGTCAGGCGTTCCCCCAGCATACTCATCCCATCACAGGACGACTTGGAGCTGGGTTAAAAAGGCACCACATCACAAGTGGTGTTTTTGGTTCCCTGTGCATTCATTGCCCGTGGCTGGATGTCTGAACACAGGGGAGTGCGTGCAGAATGGATTTGGTAGTCTGAACCTGCAGATCCATTCTGCCGCGGGGGGGGGGGTGTTTAAATTTTTGCCTATATGCGCATATGTGCGCGCATGCATTTTGAAAAAATTCTGGGCAGCGCGCTCCATGGCTGAGGTGCTGCAGTAATGTGGATGCTTGACCACAGGATGTCTGCATACGTAACCCGCAGCAGGGTGTGCTGTCTAAATGATATGCCCTGCAATACTTTAAACCGGTACAATTAGAGGCGGCACCAATGTTCCCTCTAAGCTGTGGAGTCTTGTGAGCAAAAATTCTACTTTGTGAGCTACTACCATTAAAGTTGTGAGCAAGCCATTTAGATACTGCATAAATTAGTCTGCTCTGGAGTCATCCTTCCTGAGCGAAGACAAAAATGTGTGAGCCAGAGGCTAAAAAACTGTGAGCTAGCTCACACCAACTCAGCTTAGAGGGAACACTGGGCGGCACCATATTGCTCCAAGCCGTCAGTATGACCGTGGCCTATTACTGGTCTTCACACTTCCAATATGATCTGACCACTCTGGTGCCAGACTTCATTCTACAGCTGCTGTCAACTGAAACAGCCTTTCTTGGTGTGTCTGTGCTTTTCTGATTCCTGTTCTTTTTTTTCTTTTCTCTTTTTAGTATTTCAGAACTTTGAAAGCCTTGTCTCTGGGTGTTTTAACACTGACTTGTTACAACCCAGGTCAAACTGATGTGGGCCAGCTTAGTGTGGCAGTTAAAACCTCCAGTAGGTTTTATGTACTCTGGCACATAGTACCTTTAAATGTAAGCCACCCTGAGCCCGTTCACGGGCGGGATTGAAAGCCAATAAATAAATAAAGACTGTTGGTTTAGTACCTAGGAGACCAGTTGGAATCCCCACTATGCCACAGAAGCTCGCTGGGTGACTTTAGGCCAGTCACACATTCTCAGCCTAACCTACCTCCCAAGGTTGTTGTGAGGTTAAAAGATGTACGCTACTTTGGGGTCCCCATTGGGGAGGTAAGCCCAACTTGGAAGGTGTAGGGAATGTTGGCAGATGCCCCAATCACAAACATTTCACTCATTTCAGCAAGGAGGCAGGATATTCTTCTGATGCTGACTATAAGCTATCTACATCTAAATTTTCCTCTAAATTACATTGAAATTAACTTTTTAAATTATTTTTTGGTATTTTTGCATTTGTGTGTGTGTGCCCGTGCCTGGAAGTGATGGTGACCTCTGGCGACTCCTGCTGGGGCACGGAGAACGTTCCAAGAAGTGGCTTTTTAGCCTGCCTCTGGTCTGCCTGCCCTGGTATTCTCTGGAGGTCTCCCATCCAAACACTTGCCAGGGTCGGCCCTGCTTAGCTTCCGAGATTTGACGAGATCAGGCTTGCCTGGGCTATCCAGGTCTGGGCAACATTTCTTTTTCTTTAGCTGCAGCAATAGATATGTCAAAACATAAGATTTTTAATGTCCAGGCATATATGATATAGCTATTTGTATGCAGGCCATTATGAAAAAGATGCATTGTTTTTATTACAGTGTTTAGCAGATATTACTGAACATTTGTCTAGTCTGTATCAATATGTGTCATTTTTCTTGTCTCTAAAAGGGAGTTCCTGGAGTTGGAAAAGAACAGGCTTTAAAACTGATTCGAACTTTGGGAGGTCAGAGTTTGCTGCAGAGGTATAAACATTTTTCCTTGTTACCTAAATTCCAACAGCCTTTGATATCTAAAGACAGTGGCTTTGATCCAGCAGTGATTTCTGCTAATGGAAGGGATTTCCATCACAAAGCATGACTTTGGCCCCGGCCACATGGGCTGGATATCGCGGGGGGAGGCGTGGCTAATTGCCCCAAAGGAAAATAACGCGCGGCAGCCCAATCAGAAGTCCTTTCAAGGTCCCATGGGTAGGTGTCAGGTGCAGATCAGACGGCTAGTCTGCAGCGTGGCAAAGAAGCAGCGCGGCACATTCAAACCGGCACTCGCGCCATGCTGCTCCTGTGGTAAAAGCCGCTTCCTGTTTGTGCGCATGCGCCATTGGGCGCTTTTCCACATCCTGCGAAGACTTGGGGGGAGACATCCCCTTGGTCGCAACGGAACATCGGCAGCTGCCGGATGCCACGACAGTCCACCGGAAACGCGGTGAGACGCCCGCCCTTGCCCTGCGGTTTCCGGAAACTAGTACCTCGTAGGTAGTAGATTTTAACTCTGCACCTTCAGCGGGGAGCCACAGGTTCGCCACGGGAGCACTGCGCTTCCCAGATGTTGGGGTGTGATCGTGCCCAGATAATCCACCGGACTCCTGTGCCTCTCCCGCGGCAACTTTGCCATGTGACCGGGGCCTTTGTCACCTTTTCCCCTCCCACTACAGCCTGAAATGCAGATCCTGGAGCCCCAAGAACAGCATGAGGGGTAGTTGGAGGTCTAGCTGGAAGAAGGAATCCATGACAATGGCCCTTCTCCATCCTCTGCTGGCTCCAATCCATTTAATATATGAAATAGCTGCTATTCATTATATAGGCATATTTGTGCTATGCAAACTTGATATGCAAGTTGCTTAGTGGCAATCTTAAAAACACGTTATAGTCCCTATGCATGTAATTATATATAAAATTCAACTATATGTTACAATTACAGCATAAAACATTGTAAAGGCCTTTTCAAAAGCTTTAAGAATTATTATTTTTAATTGCACTGTTCTGCCAATCAGCATTTTAATTTAGCTGTTGGGACCAAAAATCATAAAACAGTTTCCAGTCCTTTAAAAAATTATTTATTTTGCCTCCTCTTGTATCATTAAAGTTATCTCTGTCTTCCTTGTTAAAGCTCAGATCAGCTTCCATGGGGATGCCAAGAGGTCTCCACTAAGCAGTTTACAGGAAGAGATCAACTTGGCTTTAGAGACAGAACAACAGCGTGTGCCTTCTTAGGATTAATTTGGGGTTTATGCTATGTTTTACACTGTGAATATTATTCCTCTTTCTTCAGAATCAGACATTCAGTGTGCTCTCATTGGTTTTACAGACTGGGCAAAATAGCTTCAGATGTCTTGGAATTTTCAGTAGCTGGTATACAGTTAGTTCCCCAAATGCAAATCCTAGCAATTTGAAACCTTTTGAAAAGTTTATTTATTTATTTATTTAATTTATTTAGAACATTTCTATCCTTCCTTTACCCTTACCCTCCCCCCAACAGACACCCTGTGAGGTAGGTGGGGCTAAGAGATCTCTTTTGAGAACTGCTCCTGAGAGAACAGCTCTGAAGCAACTTGTAACTGACCCAAAGTTACACCAGCCGCTGCATGTGGAGGAGTGGGGAATCAGATCAGAGTCCACACTTCTAACCACTACACCAAACTGGCTTATTTTCATTTATAGTCCAGCTTTCTCATTGGGACCCAAGGCAGTTTACAAGTATGGGTTTAAAAAACCCTTTTCAGCCGATCAGTAAGCAGATTAAAAGACACATGAATCCAACAGCAAAGATTCTTGGTAAGACAAAAGAATGCAGTTGGGCTGAAACGTTATACCGTAACTTTGCTTCTGCAAGAATCCCCTCCTGAACAATTCTGTTTTGCACATTTTGCAAAACAATAGAAGCGTGGGGGGAGCCCTTCCTAATAACCTCCAGTTGACCATTCTACAATGCAGGAAGAGGCTGAAGTATATAACTGACAGATGAAGTATACTGGGTGATGTGGTTCGATGTGGGCGTGACTGTTTGACTAACCAGTGCCAGATAATGAATTAATCCTTTTTAATGTTATTTAGATTTGAGCAGTGGAAAGACCCCTTCCAGTATGGTGATATCCCCGCTATACAACTTAAGAAGGTGGTTCACTGCACTGTATGCTGTCATCCAGGTGAGTCATTGTGTGGCTTGAAAAAGGAAGTGCTTGGCACTGTACACTCTCTTTAATGGTAAGATCCAACCCGAAAGGTTTGTGGCTATATCCACACAATATGAAACTATGAACTGACCATAGTTTATATCCAAACCTACTCTTGTGTAAACAGAAGGATGCTCCAGTTTCTGCTAATTCCCTATTCTCCCTGCAGCAACCTGTGGTACTTTCTTTTCCCAGCCATTAGGACTCTTTTTTCAGGGGGTACAGGAAATGACAAGAAAGCCACATTTCCCAAGCGGATTTCTGCTCATGGTTCATTGGATCCCAGCCAATAATTTTATTTATTCTTTATTAAAACTTTGGAGCATTTGAGCAGTGAAGCTGCACTTTCTTTTCTTTTTGGCCTCAATGTACATTGATTCTTAAGGACATTAGATGTACTTCATAGACTTTTGCAATTAGACATGTTTATTTAAGAACTTTTATAGAGTATAAACTTGCCAGTTTAACGTGCATGCAGCATTTAGGCTCATTTCTTGTTTTCTGCTAGGTTATTTTAAAGAACACGAGCGTGTTGGGTGTCAGCTTTGTGAAAGCGTGGAGTTCTGCAAACCCCACGAGGCAACGTATCTCTGTCCTTGTGACTGGCATTTCTCAGAGAGAGATCGACAAGTGAGGATGGTGGAGGACAGCATTAGAAAGTAGGCACACTTCCACATGAACTGCATTTTATTTGGGGAGCACATTTACAACTGCGTTCTCACATGCATATTGTATTTGCAGAAAGGCTAAAGCATGTGAAGGCTTTCCATTTCCTGAGGTAAGTTAACAAGGTTTTTTTTAAAAAATGAATTCATTTCTTATCATCTTTCCTAATCTCTTACAGTGTCTTCCTCTCCTTCCTCCACAGGTTATCCAAGAGTATCTCGTCAGCAAAGACAAGCTGATGAAGCCATATAAGTGCCAAAGGCCAAATTTGTTATCCTTTCAGGTACAGATTTTGCTGGTTAAAATGCCATACACATCTGCAATAATGTGAATTAGCTGCAATTTGATGAAGGAACTTGAGATACAATTATGTGTGTCTTGTTAGAAAACAATTTATATACAAAATGCTAGGACATAATTCAGTGTATAGGTGATAACTCAGAATAAAGAGGAAACACAACCACATGAAAGAAAAAAGAAATTGTGAGTCTCAGCACCATTCATCCAAAACGAAAGCGTCTTTGAAGTTGATTGATTTCAAAGTGAGAGAGAGACGGCATACCTAACTCTGCTATTCAAGTCAGTGGTTCTAAAAGAAGTGCTAAGCTTTGACTGGTTCCTGACCTTTGTAGGTATTGAGTACCTCTCCTGGTGGCTAACAAACTGAGACTTGAGGTCAGCGTAGGAGGCCTTCCTCCAGAAACCAACCTTAGGAAAGCTATTATGGGTAAAAACTCAGAGGGTGGCTCCCTGAGGCATTGAGAACGCATGCTTCTCTAGAAGCATTCTGGATGGATTTGAAGGGCCTTTTCTGCAGGGCGTTTGAATTAGATCTACAAGTATGGTCAATTGCTTCTTTGCCTTTTGGCTAAGATAAAGTATAGTACCTGTTCATGTCAGTTTAATATCTGATATGTCCTTTATTTAAGAATTATATATTAAATAATGTTTTTGTTTGTTTCTGAGATGGGCTAGGAATTTGATTAAAAAATCCGCATTGCAGAAATGGTGTGGTGGGAGGAGTAGCGCTACCAGCCAACTGGCTTTCGTTGGTTTTTACTGTATTTTATTGACTCTTGCTGTGTTTTAACTGAATTTTTATTATATTTGAGGGTTTTACTAATTTTAATGTATTTTTGTGTTGCATACTGTCTTCAGGACTTCTTAAGTGAACATAAACTAAATTAAATAAACTACTCAGACATAGGATGAAAATGCACTTCGAATTTGTTCACCTCAGATTTAAAACCAAGGTCTTTGCTCTGGTCATCAGACATGGCCCAAGGCATTTTGGCACTTGAGCCTGAAAACCCAAATGGCACTCTGCCAACCATGACAGAACTATGTTAATAGTAAGTTAAATAATTTGATAACGTGTAGTAGAAAATGTGCTACCTAATACCGGCTACCTCTCCCTGATTGATGTTGGCTGAAGAAATTGTCTTTTCCTTTAGAATGTTCTCAATATATCCATCCTGTGGGAACAGCTTATATCCTTTTTATTTATACTTCCACATTCTTCCATCACCTAACTAAATTGGTTTATATGGAGCACCAAAAAGTTGTGAGACAGGACACTAAAACTACAAAATGCAAGTGCCATGGCTTGATATAAGAAGTAATAAAAGATGGTCACTGGCCATTGTATTTCAATGGGAGTTCTTGTGTCCAAACCAAAAAAAAAGTGCATTATTGCTCTAGTTGGTATTAGTGGTATAGTATTGTGATATCTAGGAGCTGCGGTGGCTCCAGTGGTTAAGACGCTGAACTGTAGGCTGTGGAAGGTCAGTAGTTCAGCAGTTCGAGACCCGAGTTGCCGCATGACGGAGTGAGCTCCTGTCTCTAGTTCCAGCTCCTGCCAACCTAGCAGTTCGAAAGCAAGAAATTGCAAGTAGATAAATAGGTACCACTTCAGTGGGAAGGTTACAGCATTCCGTGCGCCTTAGTGTTTAGTCATGCCGGCCATAAGACCATGGAAACGTCTTCGGACAGCACTGGCTCTTCGGCTTTGAAACGGAGATGAGCACCGCAACCCTAGAGTCGGACTCGACTGGCTTTTGAGCAAGGGAACCTTTACCTTATTGTGATATCTATATCCTGAAATCCATATAACCAACAAAATATTACTGTGGTTATTTTAGTAATGCATACATAATGGTTTTGAATATATTTAGTAATGTATACATACTCAACTTGGTGTGATTAAGATCAGTGAAAAATCTTGGGACAAGAAGTTCGGATTTTAAGAGAAAATAAGGCAATCTACTATTGTGTTGGATACTATTTAGTACAAGGGGAGAAGCACTCACAGAAGCACATTTTCCAACTGCAGCCTCCTGTAAAATTGTGAAAATTGTGTCCTTATTAGGTTGGTGAACTACTAGGGTGGGGGAGCAAAATGAGGGTCTGCAGTGGGAAGGGGAAGTAGGACGAAATCTCCCTCTTCCCTTTCACTGGTATAAATGCTTTCTGCCAGAGAAAGCACCGTTAGGATGCAGCCATTGAAATCATTCATCTGAAACATCATCAGAAAGCATCCGTCTTACTAGAGTTTCTATTCTTGCTATTCCCATCAAACCCCTCAAATTCCAGTTTACGTGCTTTTAAATTCTTCCAACTGGGGTGTTGTTTTGGTTTGACTGTTCAGTCATTCTGAATTCACCGTGTTTGAAAGTGGAATTAATTGACTCTCCAAACAGAGTCATTGGTATAGGGTTTCAAGTTCATCATCTTAAAAAAAAAATCTGAAAAAATACGATACACCACAGTGGTATGAAACAAGAACAGTTTTTACAGTTTGGAAAGTAGATGTCTCTGTTAACACGATTCTAGGTGTTTCTTCAAATGGTCTCTCCCCCCCCCCCCAATGTTCCATCCCAGTGATTTAGAACATTGGCAGTTAACCTTTCATCCACCACTGTCCAACAAGTACACAACATTATCATCAAATGTTGCCCAAGCTCCCAAGTAAAGAACCAGGATACTAAAAAGAGCAGTCTAGACAAGGCGACTTTATTTAGATTGGTATATTCATGATGTGTGCATTTGATGCTTATATCTCAAGCATGCATTCAGCAGTACCCCAGGCACCTCCTTTTTTGCTGGGTGCCGATTTTTTAATAACTTAGGAGAGAGGTCTGGGATTTTACGAACAATATAAAACAACTCACTCCGACCTGGATGGCCCAGTCTCATCAGAAGCTAAGCAGGGTCAGCCCTGGTTAGTACTTGGATGGGAAACCACGGAGTAAGTCCAGAGTTGTCATGCAGATGCAGGCAATGGCGAACTGCCTCTGTTTGCCTCTTGCCTTGGAAACCCTATGGGGTCACCTTAAGTCCTCTGCAACTTGATGGCATTTTCCACCACCACCATGAAACAAGTCTCCTCTGCAGCCAGAAGCCATTGCAAGTAGGGAAATGGATCTTCCTAAGAACCTGAATGACTCCCACTTCCCTTCAAAAGTTTTGAATGCTGCTCTCCCCAGATTTGTAGATCTTCAATGTTATAATTGAATTGGTGTCGTTATATGTGGTGTCAACAAGTTACTTCCAACTTATGGTGACCCTATGAATGAATGAACTCCAGAACATCGAATCATTAACAACCTTGCTCAGGTCTTGCAAACTGAGGTCCATGACCTCCTTGACTGAATCAGTCCATCTCATGTTGGGTCTTCCTCTTTTCCTGCTGCCTTCAACTTTTCCCAGCATTATTGTCTTTTCCAGTGACTCTTGTCTTCTCATTATGTGACCAAAGCATTATAGCCTCAGTTCAGTCATTTTAACTTCTAGGGAGATTTCAGGCTTGATTTGATCTAGGTAAAGGTTTCCCTTGCTCGAAAGCCAGTTTAATCCAACTCTAGGGGGCAGTGCTTATCTCCATTTCCAAGCCAAAGGGTATCCAAAGACTTCTCTGTGGTCATGAGGCTGGCATGACTAAACGCCGAGGCACATGGAACGCTGTTACCTTCCCAACAAAGCGGACCTATTTATCTAATTGCAAGTTCTTGCTTTTGAACTGCTAGGCTGGCAGGAGCTGGGGCCAGAGATGGGAGCTCACTCCGTCACGCGGCACTGTGGTATCCATTGTACTCTCGTCCAACACCACATTTCAAATGAATTAACTGTTTTCCTGTCAGTTTTCTTCATTGTACATCTTTTTCACCTATACATAGTCATCCTTACACGTAAGGATCTTTACTAGCTCCTTCACGGCTGCCCTTCCAAGTCTCAATCTTCTGATTTCTTGGTTGCAGCCTCCCTTTTGGATGATGGCTGAGCCAAGGAATAGAATGTCTTTAACGATTCCAGTTTTTTCATCATCAACCTTAAAGTTGTATAATTCCTCTGTAGTCATTACTTTGTCTTATTGATGTTCAGCTGTAATCCTACTTTGGCCCTTTCTGCTTTAACCTTCGTCAGTAGTCGTTTCAATTCTTCACTATTTTCAGCCAGTAATGTGTTATATGCATATCTCCAATTGTTAATGTTCCTTCAACCAATTTTGACTCCACCGTCATCTAAATCTAATCCAGTTTTCCTTATGATACGGTCTGCATGTAGATTGAACAGATAGGGAGATAAAATAGATCCTTGACGCCTTTGCCAACTGGAAACCATTCTGTTCCTACATATTCTGTCCTAATCATATCCTCTTGTCCAGAGTATAGGTTGTGCATCAAAACAGTCAGAAGTTATGGCACACTTATTTTTTTAAAAAAACAGCCATAGCTGATTTTCTTCTAAAATTCTCTCATATATCTAGTAAGAACCGTAAGTTTGCAATATGATCTTTAGTGCCTCTTCCTTTACAAAAGCCAGCTTGAACATCTGGCATTTATTTATTTATTTTTTCGATTTATATCCTGCCCTCCCTGCCAAGGCAGGCTCAGGGCGGCTTACATTTATTGTTCCATATATGGCAACAGTCTTTATTGTAAGATCTTGAGCCTCACTTTACTCACATGAGAAGATAATGCAATGGTCCAATAGTTGCTTCAGTCTTTGACATCTCCTTTTGGGGGGAATTGGAACGTACATTGAGCGTTTCCAGTCTGTGGACCATTGTTTTGTTTTCCTGTTAAGATTTTGATGGCCTCTGTTTCTGTGTCTTACAATAGCTCTGTCAATATTCCGTGTACTCCTGGTGAGTTGTTTCTCCTAATTCCTTTGAGTGCAGCTTTCACTTCAGTGTCTTAAGACTGTAGGTACTTGTTCAAAAGATTCTTCTTTGAAGGAATCTCATTCTTTTATCTGTTCTGTATAGTTCTTCAGTGTATTGTTGCCATCTTTTCTTTATTTTGGCCTGTTCGGTTAATGTATTTCCATGTTTATCTTTCAGCATGCGTAACCATGTTTTACATTTCCCTTTGATTTCTTGGATCTTGTGGAACAGATCTCTTGTTCTTTCTTTTTGTTGTTGTTGTCTTTTATTTATTTACACTGGTTATTATAATAGTTCTCTTTGACTGTACATGCAAGTCACTAGAATGCTGCATTTAGACTTCTGAATCTATTTCTGTCACTCTTGCTTCTTGCCTGTCTTTAGCAATTTTAAGAGTTTCATCGGTCATCCATCAAGGCTCTTCATTTCTTTTGCCTGTAGGAATAGTCTTTGTGCAATTTTCCTTAATATCTATTTGTAACCCATAGTTCTTCTGGTTCCCATTCACTTGAACTTAGTAATGCAAATCTATTAGAAATTGTTGTTGGTGAGATTTTTTTTTTTTAAAAACTCTTCCATTCTACTGTGTTTACAGGCAGGCATGCGTCCCTCAAAGGGTACTATTTGCAGCCAAAACCACATTAGCAGCCACATGGAAATCCACCAGTAGGCTATATGTAAACCTCTGGTACAAAAAGCTATGGAACCTTTATATAATGGAGAAAATCTCAGATACTCTGAAACAAAATCTATCTAGAAGTGGTCAGAATGACATCGTATGTATATGGTACCCCATACTAGATACATCTATCTACCAAAGAAACAGTACCTGATGTAATAAACACTCTGCATCTTTGGTAATTTTCAAACTGTATAATACCGACAAACTGTACGAAATGTTTGAAGCCATTGAGAGCTGAGTATGCTCATGCTTACCTTGTAAATCTTTGCTGTTTATGAAAAAAAAAATTATCTGTTAAAAAAAGGGGTAAATCTATCTAGAAGTGGTCAGAATGACATCGTATGTATATGGTACCCCATACTAGATACATCTATCTACCAAAGAAACAGTACCTGATGTAATAAACACTCTGCATCTTTGGTAATTTTCAAACTGTATAATACCGACAAACTGTACGAAATGTTTGAAGCCATTGAGAGCTGAGTATGCTCATGCTTACCTTGTAAATCTTTGCTGTTTATGAAAAAAAAAATTATCTGTTAAAAAAAGGGGTACTGCCCTTTTCCTTCTCATAGTTGTTGAAATTGATCATCTGATTAATCTAATTAATCTAAGCAGTCTACTTGGACCAGCTGGGTTTGCTTGTACTGTAGTAAACTTGTTAGATAAATACTAACTATGACCTTTATGGAGCAAAAACAAAGTTAATAATAATTGAAACTTAATTTAAAACCTAATAGTCAAACACAGAAGAGTAAACCTTAGAGGGCAATTTTATAAAATTTATTTTAAGGTTAAAAAAATTCTACATTGAGTCTCTTTTTATTTATTTATGGAAATCACCTGCAAGCAACAGATTAAGAACAAACTGAGCTATCTAAATTAACCAAGGTCAGCCTTAGACTAGCAAAATAAATCATTCAGAAATGCCGAGAGAAATAAAGGATAGAATGGGCTAACAAGCTCAATTATGACACAGCTAAATTAGCCTAACAAACAAGATTTAAAATAATCTCCTTAAAACAAAGCCACTAGCAGTTACACTCTCATCTAACCGGCAAAAATTAAAACTAGGCTGAGGATCAAGTCGACAGAATTTCAAAAAGAGTAAAGAAAAACAGCAAACCAGTAAGACTGAATTATACACTAGGCAGTTTCCACAAAAGCAGCTGAGCAGCCAACCCTGGCTGGAACACCGCCCAGCCCAGCTGCTAAAACAAACCAGCTGCTAAAACAAACCACCCTGTGGCTGATAAAACCAGGAAAAACACATTTTAAAAGATCAACAGCCTACAAGGCTAGAAAGGATTAATAACCAACTAATAAACCAAATAAAAGTTTAAAACAGATAAAATCAAGTAAAATATGCTTGCAGATCGGAGCTCGAGCAGAAGGTTCCTTGTTGTCCAGTCGCCAGAAGTCACCCTAATAATGCAACTCTGTTATTTAGTTGTTGTTATTAACCATCAGTGTATCCAGATGTAAACTAGCAGGCCTCTGTGTGGATAGCACAAGCCACATAATGTGGCCACTCACACAGTTGTGGTCTCTACTCATCCAGGAAGCCCTGCAGGTTTGCAGAAAAATATAACTTTGTAAATGGAACAAACATAAAGAAGTAAAAAATCATAGAAGTCCAGCCTGCTGAGGACTAGATATGCTCCAGAAAAGATGAAATGTTGAAAGCAGCTAAGAATCGATTTTAAAAAATGAAGAGCAGAGGAGAAATTAGCTTGTCCGAATGCCTGAGAGCTTAGGAAATCTTGTAAGATTCTGAGGGGTAGTTGGGATTTTCAAGTTGTTTGCCCCTCCCATGGTTCCTTATGGGCCCTCAACTCATTGTGGTGCTTTTGTTTTACATTGTAATGGATATCATCAGCTTCTTAGTGTGGTATTTTTTTCCTCCTGTCTGTTTTCTTTATACATGTGTATTGATCCAGGTGATCAACCATGTCGGTCTGAAGCAGTAGAACAAATTTAGAGTCCAGTGGCACCAACAAAGGTTTATTCAAGGTATGAGTTTGCGTGTGCATGCACACTTTTTAAAGTTAGCTTGTTATTTAGTTTTGTCTTCGCATATCTTAAAATATCTTCATCATGTTACATGTTAATTTGCGGTTCAGCCCCAGTCTATAAGTTTGAACCTTACCTTCAGTTCCACTGTATTTGAAAAAATGTGCATGCACACAAAAGCTCATACCTTGAATAAACCTTTGTTGGTCTTAAAAGTGTCACTGGACTCTAAATGTGTTCTTTATACATGTATGTTACATGACATGTTAATATTTGGAACTGGCTTAAAATATTCCTCACACTTGCAGAAGTTTGCGTCCGAGAAAATGGACTGGCCCAGGCACTACGCTTGTGAGAAACTGTGTGCACTTCTGACATACTATGACATGAACAGAAGGAAGGCTGGCCACACTGATCCATGGCAGCTGCAGGCACTTCGGTAATCTAATTCAGAAAGTTGTTAGAATTCATTCCATGTTCCTCTTCACATCTGTCAGAAGAGAAAATGCACATGGATTGTAACCTTATGAAAGGGTGAAAGACATTTTTCTTTCCCATTTAGCTATATTTCACCTTTATAGAAAGTTTAAACCAATCCTCTAGTTCTAATGTTTTTACTGTGCACCTATTTACTTCATTTGCCTTTCTCCCCCCCCCGGTGGGGACCCAGAGCAGTTTACATCATTCTCTTCTCTTCCAATTTTATCCTCACAACAACCATGTGTTGATTTAGGACAGTTATAACCTGCTGTTCTCCATTCAGTACAGAGCCAAAGTGGCTTACAATGTACAAAATACATAAAACACAATCAAATTTCACAGATATGCAAAATAAGCCAATTTCACAGTCACTACTTGCCATTAACAAATGACTTCATAAGGCAGGGTAGGTGGCAACAGCTCTGCCCTTGATGAAACAGTCTGTGTCTGTCCATACACAGGCAGCCACTCCCTTCCTTCCCGTGAGGTGGATATGGCTGAGAGAGAGTGGCTTCAGGGCAGAGTGGGCATTCAAGCCTGGGTCTCCCGGATCCTAGTCCAGCAGTTCCCATACCCACATAACTGGCAGTCCTACAGTAAATTATTTGATATTCTGGTATTTTTTTAAAAGAAGCATCAGATGCATGGAACATTTACCACTCCCCCCCACACACACATACTTTTACCCTTACATTTTACATCCATGCACATTTTACAATCCTTCCTAAGCAGTTTTTCTTTCAGCATTATTTAATACTGCTGCGATTTTCTTCTCCTTATTTCACAGGATAGTCAAGACACGAACAAAAAATGGGATTCCTTGTTTTGAAATCGAGTGGCAAAAGCCAGGTTGGTTCTCTTCTCTCTGCATTTTTGTGGGGGTTATCACACAACGCTTGAAATCCTGGGAGGGGGGGATGCAATGCGTGTGAGTCCTGTCAACGGAGGCCATTTGCAAAGTATCCCAGTATTAAAAATGCAAGAAGAACGGTTCTGGATTTCCAGAACACTGGATTTTCACATCTTGTCATACAAGTGATGTTCCTGTTCTGGCAGTAGATCAATACACGTCACGTTCTGGACTTTTCCCTTTCTGACCACACCATATCAAGTAACTGGAGACATCAACTTTTAAAATAAGTTGTCTCTCTAACTACTTCCCCATCAATTCTAAACTGATATTCTGTGTGCAGTTGTTTCCATAGGGCCAGGTTATTCTGCTTTATGTTACCCCATGGATCACCAGTGGCAGACATGTGAAGGATTTGAAAAAAATGACGGCACAGTTGTTCATGGGATCCATACAAGATAATTAGGACATGCAACTGCTTGAATTATAAAGACTCAGAGATTGCCCCTGACTGCCAAACTGCGATGACAGATTCCTACCACCGGGTGTCTTTATGCAGAATTGATATGAAAGATCCATATTTGATAACTTGTTTTTCTTTTAAAAGGTAGAGTTATGGGCAGAACCCTCCTGTCTGTAGCTCTGGCACTGCTCTTTTTAAAAAATCTGATAGTATGCTTTGATGTCTTTTATGTATTCACCCAGAGCATTTTGCTACAGCAGACGATCAGTCGGTGGAGCCTTTTTTAATAACAACGGAAGAGTCATCATTATTTCAGGCTGCTTACCCAGAAATCATTGCCCTGTATCAAATGGAGAAGTTGGAAATTTGCAAAGAGAAAAAGAAAGGTGAGCTTGGGAGTCTCTTGTTTTGCTCTTTTTTGAACATCACATACATGCTTGCGTAGTGCAGACTATTGTGTCGCTTCACGTAATTGCAGTTCTTCTACAGAGCTGTGAATTAAATTAAAATGCCATCAGCCGAACTTTATAACGGAGTCATCCTATCATTCACTTGTTTGCGCTTGAATTTGAAAGGAGTAGCTTCTCCTCATGTTGGAGAAACTGGGAGCGCAGGAAGCTTTTCATGGACTCCCATCTCCACTGTGTTTGTAGGGGAGGGAGAAAAGCCGGGAGGGATCCCAGTTGCATCAAGAGAGGGAGACAGCTGTTCTAAACCAAAACTCAGTCTATTCTATTACACACTCTTAAGTCAGAAAACACTTTTGTAGCATTTCAATATTCAACATAGAATATTTCAACACAGCCCCAATACATACATAGTGTGCTTGTAGTCCTATAAAGATTGCTCTGTCAAGACGCATCACAGAGGGTGTTTGGCCAGAACAACCAAGACCAAAACTAAACTCAGACATTAAGTACCCTTTTCCGACCATAGGGGTTAATGTAACTGTCAGTCAAGTCTGTGACAAGCATTTGACATATATCTCTGACATGCACATCAAAGCCCGGCCCATTCTTTCTATCTCTGAGGTCAGGAAGGTCAAGGAAAGCTGGGTTAAGATAGGTTGACTAGCTTCAGATACTCTATCTATTTAGAATTTGATAATGTATAAACATTCCAAAAGACAAAAGTCATGTAAGGCACAAGGCATGTGCAGGGTTATCGGTGCCTGAAGGCCACAGCACTTAGCACAGTCCTGAAGCCCCCTGGGAAACAGAACCAAAGATTCAACTATAGAGGCTAATTACTATGGAAATTAAAGTAACCTAGGTTTAATAGAGGGCTGAGGCTCAGTCCGGGCCCTAATTCTGCGACACATCACAAAGACTGAAGCCATTTCACAAGCAGTCTTTTTTGTTCTTGTAGGCAAAAAGGCAAAACTTAAAAAGAAAGAAGACTTAGCAGCCAACGGCGAAGTTGCAGATCTTCTCTCTCGGCTGAACTTGCAGTCGTCATGTGAGATCTTTCCCGATCGTAATCCCAAGTATGATTTCAAATCTGATTGTCAAGTATTGCCAACCCCCAACTGTAAATCTCAGGTCCCGTTCGTATCTGTAAGTTTTTCTGCCGAAGTCTTATCGAGTCAGAATTCACCTTCTCCCTTGCTTGCAAGTCCTCCACAAAATGCACGGGATGAATGCAACTTTGGTGGCTATCTGAGCTCACAAATAGAATTTATTGACTCCTCCATGGACTCTTGTGCTTCCTCTGCAATTACTAATCTGCCGCTAGGTGACATTGATTGGGAAGGCACATCCTTTAGCATTTCTCCGGCTCCAGTTAATAATTCTTGTTCAGAATCTGAGTGGCGTACACATAGTAATTCCACAGGACACCGTGGTCCACGGCACTGCAAAACAACAGACATTATCCCGCTGTTTTCTAATTCTGTACAATGTAATCAAGATCCACCCAGGAGTGTGGAGTGCTCTGTTTCAGGCAGCAGCAACCTTCCCGAAGGACAAAACTGTTCATCATCAAAAGGTCAAGTAATTCTAAAGCTTTCTGCTTTGGAAAGTTTTTCCAGGGATCCAGAAGTTTCTCTGCTCGGCCCTCTGCAAATGACAGAACAAACAAAAGGAACTTCAAGCCCTGAGGGTGAATTTTCAAATGTTTTAGCTCAGCAAAATGACAGCCTTCAAAGAACTGAAATTGTGCTACCTAAAAAATATCCCAGGGAATTCAGCTTAGAAAACAATATAAAGCTGCCCAAACAATCCGAATATGTGTCACAAAAACCCACCAGTTCAAGCATGTCCAGGTCTGTGAGTCTGTGCATTGAAACTGTAGAACCGACTCACTCTGGAAATGAGCCAGTGATGATGTTTCCTGAGCCAACAAAGGATCTAGACAACTGCCAGATGAGAGAAGACTTTGCACAGATGAGTGTGAAAAACTCACTTAAGAGCGTGTGTCAAAGTGGGTATTCTTCCAGTGAAGAGAGTGATGGAGGAAATGTGGAAGTTAGGAGGAAGGCTCCCGGGGGTCCCCAGTGGCAAAAGAAGCGTAGCCTGGTTCAACTGAAGGATAACTGCCGTGTGAAAAGGAGTGACAGTAAATCAGAGCTTGAAATTAAGCTAAAAGGGAAGGTCTCGGGTGCAGATTTATTAGCGGAAGAGCATCCAAAACCTGCCTCTGTTGCGCACGTTCACAGTTCTCCGAGCCCCATCAACGTAGCATGTTCTTATCTCCAAGACAGTGGAAGTGAGGCTGATGTGTGGGCCGACAGCCCTCTGCCACTGTCGGAAAGGTTGAAGCTAAGGCTGTAGAGCCATTAAAACTACTCTTCCTTTCATTATGACGGACATTTCTCGAGTTGCTGTCTCCTCCCAGTTCATAGGTGGAAGTTCCAAAGAGAGCTTAAGAAAAGGACAGCGTGAACAGCTTGGAAGTCTGGGATGGAAATGTTGTCTAGCCCCCTTTAAACTGACCTTATAGGTGATCCATGTAGTTCTTGCCACAGACAGGCTGTGAACTGTGTAGACAACTGTTTTCCCAAGAAGAACAACCACACCACAGTACCATGACGTCAATTCATTAAGAAGCACACCTTGTCTTTATCCTAATCAGTGAATGTCTCACTGCCAAGAACATTGCTTGTACGCAGCTGGATGACAGCAGTGTGGTGGTGATATCTGACATGTATACACTTACAGGTTTCCTCCAGCCAGTGCCTTTGTGCCGTCTTGACTTCTTCATGGGGACGTCAAGGAATGCTTCTAGGGGCGTGATTTAATTCCTGATTCATTGGTATCAGGAGCCCCTTTTCTCTGGAACTGCTATCCACTGCCATGCACCATAGCAGGGCAGGGGTCATCTCATCAGCTGTATCATTACAAAATCTTGCCATGCACCAAATTCAGCTCAAGCCAGTCATGTATGACCTTTTCAGAACACCTTGTAGTTCAGCTGAATATGCTGCTGGCCTGTCTGTTGGGGGGGGGGGGAGATGTGAACACTAAAAATTGTGAACACTGTGTTCTAGGGAAATTAAGTAAATCAGTACCAACTGAATAGATTTGAGGTAAATGCTGATTATTATTATTTTTTTGCAGTATCACCTTTCATTTTGAATAAGTGAGCTGCAGCCCCAAAGTATTTGATTTAGATATCAAAACGGGGTGATATTTAGGTACATTTCACTTCCAGGCATAGGAGATAATTTCAGAGTATAAGTTCGGTGCGTGTGGAGTTATGTAATACTATCCACACTCTCCAATAATTACATGCAAACAAAGATTTCGTATTAGTAGATTTCGGATTGTACACTTAGGCCCCAATTTATGGTTTTTTGAATTTCTGATGGTGTTGGATTGCAGCCTTAGCACAGTACATTTATAAAGCATTATGTAACTGTGAACCGTGTTTTAAATGATGCCTTCACTTGGACGCAGTTTAGTCAAGACAGGGCTCCAAATACCAGTAGCTTAAATGAAGCCCAAAGGACCTTATGCCTAGCATAAATACTGTTTCCGTAGAATTGTTTTCCCCAGTGCTGGATAGTGCACGACTTTTAACATAATTGTGTTATTTTTCACTGGTCTTAATAAAAGGTTTGTTTTGGGATTTGCCAGCAGAGCGACCTGCAGCCTCTGCCTGTTCTGGAAATACCTACACTTCTTCAAATGTAGGAAAAAGAACTTAGGAAGACACTTTGCTCATGTGTTTTCTCAGACCACTAAAGTAATACTACCTAGTTGGCTTCCATTGGCTCTTTACCTAGTGCATCAATTAAAATTAATCTCCAGTATTGTTAATGCAGATTCATTTTAGTTGATGCACCAGGTAAAGAGTCAGTGGTGATCCTCTCAGCCTAACCTACCTCACAGGGTTGTTGTGAGGATTAAATCTCCAGTACTGTGATTGCTGTAGCAGCCTGAATAGCCCAGACTAGCTCAGAAGTCAAACGGGGTTGGTCCTGGTTAGTATTTGGATGTGAGACCATCTAGGAAGACCTGGGTTGCTGTGCTGAAGAAGGCAATGGCAGACTACCTCTGCTCATCTTTCACCTTGAAGACCCCTTGAGAAGTTGCCATAAGTTGCTTGCAACTTGATGGCACTTAATTACTATCCTTATTGTTGATGCAGCGACTGCCACTATTTACTGCTGATCTTTAGCCTTGTAAGGGAGCTGTGTGCTCTCTTTGGTGTTAGGCCACTGATTGGTTTTTATATTTGAAACTGGACGCTGCCACTGTGTGTCCCCCCCCCCAATCCTCTTAGAAAATCAGAAGAGCAGCCTGCTGCTACTCCACACTGCGTTGCGAAGTATTCCAACCTACCAGGCATTCTAAGAGGATACATACAATGGGGGAAGGGGGTACCATGTATGCTGCCCTGACCTCTCTGCTGGAAGGATGGGATCAAAATGGGATAGAGGCCTGAAACCTCTCACCCCTGCCCCCCCCCTTTTTTTTAAAAAAAACAACAACACACATATCCAACCTGATGAAGAGCCCTGAAAAACATGAAAACTGGCACACTGTTTTGTGTTAAACTTTGGTTGGTCTCAATAAATGGTTGTGACATGGCTTTTGTTTTTGGATCGTGTTTTGGACCATAACGGAGCTAACCTGCAGCTGCCCTCCCAATGCGCGTGCTAACCGGGTTATGTCAAGATGCAAATTTTAGCAGGTTTCTAGGTTACTGCAATGATATTAGCTGATCAGTTGCCTTCCATTTCTGTGACGGTCGCTTCATGCAAAAGTGTAAAAAAAATTTTTTTTACTGATGTTTACATTTCTAACCCCCATTTCTCCCACCCTCTGTAGATGAAGGAAGAAATGACGGGACCTGGGCAGATTAGTGGAAGAAGGGAGTGAAGGAAAGAGCAGTGCCTCCACCCCACTGGTCCCAGTCAATTACCAGTGGGCAAAAGCAAGGAAAATACATTTGCAAAGTGACTCCCCAGATTTCAAACCACCTCTTAACATTCCCAAGTAGGACTCCCAACTACCAGGGAGTCCCAGGTTCAGATCCTCACTCTCCCATGGAAGCTTGCTGGGTGCCCTTGGGCCAGTCACGCACACTCAGCCTGATGTACCTCACAGGGTTGTGTTGTGAGGATAAAACAGAAGGGGAGAATGTTGTAATCCTCTTTGGATCCTCATGGAGGAGAAAAGTATGGTATAAATGGAGTAAATAAAGAGGGATGGGAGATCAAAGAAGAATATACATTGCAAAAACTCAAATGTAGGTCACACGGTTTAAAGCTGGAATCAGAAAGGTGATTCTTTTTACTGTCTGTCTTGGGCCTTGTAAGTGTCCCTTGGTCTTTCTTGTGACTTAGGGGGTTCTCTCTGGTGCTGCTGTTGGGGGTGCTTTATGCTGCTGCAGATCTCCAGGGGTTTTATTTATTTATTTATTTTTCGCATTTATACCCCGCCCTCCCCAATGGGCTCAGCTCTGCCTCATGCTCCTCATCAGCCTCTTCTGTTCTCTCCACAAAATAGCATCATTTTCCTCAGAAATCTATATTTTCTTTCTCTTTCCTCAGGCACTGCCTACAGCTCCTCAGGGAGGAAGACTTCTCCTTCACAAATTCTATTAGGGGGCAGTGTTCCCTCTAAGCTGAGTTCACACACACACACACAAACCTTTCTTGGCATGAAAGCACAAAAAAACATAATGGAAATATAGGAAAATACTAAGATGCATCAGTCACTTACACTTCAATTCAATCGTCTTCTGAATGCATAATATAAAGATTTTGCAACAGCCTCCATTATTTCGCAATTAAAATTAAACAGAAGAAAGTGAACAATTGAGTCATCAGAGTGCCAGCTCTTACCCTCTAGAAATGGAGTAATAAAACAAGATCGGATATCCCTATAGAGGGGGTCTAAGCTGAGTTAGTGTGAGCTAGCTCACAGTTTTTTACCCTCCAGCTGACACATTTTTGTCTTAGGAAGGATGGCTCCAGTCCAGAGCAGACTTATTTATTTATATCCCGCCCTCCCCGAAGGCTCAGGGCGGCTAACAACGAGGCACAAGTGCCAGAATTAAAACAGATAAAACAGTCTAAAATCATAAAACAATACAGTACAACAGTAGCCAAATGCAGTAGCCAAATCACCTGCCTGCTCACAACTTTAATGCTGGTGGCTCACAAAGTAGAATTTTTGCTCACAGGACTCCACAGCTTAAAGGGAGCATTGCTAGGGGGTCAAACTCATTGGGTTACATGTTTTTCAAAGAAAGAAATTAGCCAGACGTATAATTTTAACCTACACACTTAGCAAGCAAGTGATTCAAAGAGAAGGTTTAAGCGGTTAATTCAACCATTTAAATTCTTTTGTTTTTACTGGATTAACTATCCTATTGAATGAAGGGAACTTCAGATTATTTAACTTTGGCTGGGTTATATCCTACATTTGCAAAGCCAGTTCCTGATAAATGCCATGCTTGAAATGAAGATGACCCTGAATGTAATATGACCTCTTTAAAATTGTTACACACAAACATATATGTAATTTTATTGGACATAAATGTAACTTGTATGCAAATGTATACCTATTTAAAATAGTCTTGCATTGGAATAAATACTGTAGGAGTTGCAATCCTATGCATATGGTCCCAGTGACATCGATGGAAACTCTGAATGAAAATGTAGAATATCAAACTGTATGGTTGCAATCCTATGCATACTTACTTGGGAGTAACCCCACTGATCTCAGTGACCCAAGTGAACAGAAGATCAGGCTACAATAACCCTATTGCCCTTTGGATTAATAATTTAAGAGCTAAACTTGGGTAGAAGGAAAATAATTCTTCTTTTTGTAGAAGTGGATGACTTTCATGAACAGAAGATTCCTCTGTGGGCAGAAGAATCCAGCTTTTGGATTCAACTCACAAGTGAAAAGTAAATAATAATTGTGGGATGCTACTGGGCATTGAATGCTTAAGGGCTGATTTACTCAACTATGTGTAGGACCTACACATAGTTGAGTAAATCAGCCCTTAAGCATTCAATGCCCAGTAGCATCCCACAATTATTATTTACTTTTCACTTGTGAGTTAGTGGAATTTGTGATTTGCTCCCTTATCTCCTGTCTTATCCCTTGGGGCTTGAAAATTTATACAAGTGGTGCTTGAAACTCATACTCCTAGTAGTAGAGAATTTCCATTGTTATAAAAGTAGGATACCTTGAGAAAAGTGACAGGTAACCTAGTTTTACACTGATTTATAGTGCAGGTATGCTCCATTGGTTCACATTTTCCCACAGCTCTTGGGTCTAGAAACCAGTTCCTTCAAATGGATATCGAGATTGTAACAAATATTTAGAGCATACTAACAAAACTTTGTTGTCCAGCCTTCCTTTTACGAAAATTAGCTGCTCTTCATGCCTTAATACATAGCCAGTAATATTAGCAACTTCAGACTCCTCAGTGGGTCTTATTTTGGTTTTCCA